ACATAAATAAGTTAGGATGATAATGAAATATAAATAATTGAAAAAATATCCTTTATGATTCGACAGAGGTGGCAAAGCACCAGCTAGTACCATTAGCGCGGCATTGGCGAGTGCACCTTTATCACCACCCCTCAGCAATCACGGATCGCCTCAGCCATTCTCCGTGAGTTGCTTCATCATAATTTGATTCTCTTTACGAGGCATGGTCACGAGCGGATTTTTTCGCGCACGCATTTTCTTGCCTGTTTTGGCATGGCTTATGAAGCGAGTATTTTGTATTGAGCGTGTGCGTGGCTTTGCTGCGCGTGATTTCACGGAATTTCTTATAATCGCGAATCGGACGAAGGTCGCAACGAAATTTCTCGCTCATTAACGATTTCTCTCTCGAATTATATATGGAGAAAACAATGGCATAGCACTTTTTTAAAAGATTCAAAATTTGAGATAATTTTAATGGTTAAATAGAAAGAGAGCTCGTTAAAATATTCATTGTATTGAATATTTAAAAATGTATCTCCGTGTATTTTAATACTAATTATGTGTATTTTAAATACTAATTATGAGACAATTGCATTTTCCCTGTCACATTCTTACTTAAAGTCACTTCGACAAAATATAATAGTACGGAAATAATTTATGACTTTGAAATTTTCTTCACAATAAATGATAAAATATTTGATTATTATAATTCCGATTATTGCACCGTGTGCCACGAAAGATCTGTTTCCGACGAGCGGAATGCGCACTTATCTTGAAAATTTAACAAGTGTGGTCCTTGCTTGGCACTAATCGCTTTTCCAGGCGTGCAATCGTACGAGCCCCGAGTCCGGATTTCAGCATACGTGGCGATCAACTTCGAATACGAATGGATGCATCAAGAATGGTGAATGCAACGGCGAGTCGAAAACATTCACGAGTACGATCACCATCCAAACAGGTGGCACAGAGGTTGGCAATGCACTCGAAAATACTCGATTTCTGTATTCGCTCATGCTAACGTACTTTTAATCGTGATTTCCTTGTGTAAATAGTCATCAAATAATTACAAAACCAAATTGACGTAATCAAGAAAATATTGTACAGTAATTTTTCGTTATATGTTATATAGTATATCATAAAATATTGCATTATGATGTATGTATATATATATTAAATTAAATGTAGCACGTTACATTTCCAATTTTGTTTTTTTAATATAAAGAATGCGGAATTTTTTTTATTTTTATATAAAAAAATGTAGAACTATAAATATATATATA